TAAACGGTGTAAACGGTGTAGACGGTGTAAACGGTGTAAACGGTGTAAACGGTGTAGACGGTGTAGACGGTGTAAACGGTGTACCGAAAAATCGTGGACACTGATTGCGCCAGCAATGCAACTTCACGGAAAGGCCGCCTACACGCTGGAGGCAACTTTTCAGCTTTCAACTTTTCGATATAGCCACCTACAGGTTGGTCTTTGTGTTTTTGTTTGTTTCCTGGGGCGTTGTCTGGTATGTGCTCTTCGGCTTCAGGTACCGTGACTTAGCTCACTAGCAAGTTTGAGATCTGCATACCTGATTCTGCAGCAGTTCTCAACAACGGCTGAAATACCGGTAGACTAGACACAAAAAAAAAAAGCAAGTACTCGATGCTGCCTGTCTTGTGGGGCATGAAGTGGCAGGGTTCCAAGCCCCACTGGCGATATGCTAAAGTGTTTAGTTTTGTGGTCATTGTTCATTACGCACTCTTTGGAAAAGTGTGGCTAGCCAGGCTCCGGACGCATGCTTTACCTTGATTTACAGACCTGAAGATGCTGCCTATTTTGTGGGGCATGAAGTGGCAGGGTTCCAAGCCCCACGGGGAAATAGTGATCTTGGTTGTGGTGGGACACAGTGTTTAGGTACAGACCCTAAGCTTCATTGATGTGTCGTGTTCTGATATGAAGCTGTCGCTCCGAAAGCCAGTTGTAGCTATGGACAATGCTGGGACGAGCTTGCAACTTCAAAAAAACAGATCGTTTTGTAGATTTTTGTTGGTGAAACCAAATCGATACAAAACATAAGCTGCAAACAGGACATGTATGAAGATTTGTTTTGCTTCCGCTAGACTTCTCATAGGATGACATGGCGGTTTCTGGCAGGTGGCAATAATTGCGAGGCCACAAAGTCTTGGTGAATTCAGAAAGAACAACGTTCTTCTTGTGCACACTTTGCTTGAACATTTCGGGCCATCAGCGGGTCTAGTATCATTACGTCGGAGAGTGTCTGCCCTAATAGGCCTAAAAGGTGTCTAATCAAAGCCCCTTAGAGGAGATTCGGGGTGTCCATGAACCACTCCTTCCGGGTGCTCTGGTAATTGGGTTCTTTCAGCGGGACAATTCTCCCGCCTCGAAACCTGGCGATCTCCTTATAGATTCTTTTCTGTTTGTAGTACAGAGCCGGTGCAAACCAGTCCCTCAAGTATTCCCTTTTGATCCAACCCCATTCTGGTGTCAGTGGGGTTCCAACAATAGCTTTTCGAACCCCACAAACCACATACCACCACACACACGTGACAGCATTCCGAGATTAGCGAAAGGGTAACGCAAAAACTCAGACTTGTCGAATATTGTCGAATTTGATTGATTTTCGACTTGTCTACTTTTCGCTTCAAAAAATCGATGCGCCCATTCTGCGAGCGTGTCCAGCCGGGTGAGTCCACTCTCATTTACAATACATATAAATACTTAATATGTCTTTTATCTTTTCATATCTGTTCTCTAGACTCTAGACCTTCGGACCCTTCTTACTTGCTTTCCTCCGTGTCTTTTGCCCTTCCAAAAAGCACACTTTTTGGCCAAGCTACAGGTCTGCATCGCTGTTGATCTCCAAGCGAACTTTTCGCACATTCTGTCCATCAGGTGGTGGAAAAGGCGTTTGCAAAGCGCCTGTAAGCCCAGCCGCCCGATTGTGTCGGCAAACAGGGGCAGTCGGACTGGTTTCAATTTTGTGTTGAACCCTTGGCAGACACTTGACTGACCAAACAAACTATATTTATCTGACTTTATCTTGTTCTTCTCGTTTTCTTTGTTCGCTAGGCCTTTAAACCGATTCCAGCTAGTGTATTTCTGTAAAAAGACATGGTGTTGTTTTGGGCCTTTTGAATTCCATAGATTGTTTTAATGAATAAACGACATTAAACGACCCCATAATAACAGTCAAATAACGTCAACGTTTGTTGCTGCTTGCAATAGTTGGGTACCTGGAACACGAGAAGCTGCTGGAGTGGTCCGCGCTTGGATCTCCACTGGCACGATCCATTCTTCGGCGCTCCTTTACGCGGTTTAGGGTGCAACAAATCAACACAACATTGAATTCACATAGGCTTCCCCAAACCTCCCGAAGTAAGACTCAACAAAATGCATCCTGATCATCTGATGTCGCGAACTCTATGCATGCTTTCCCTTCACCTTCATCGCCTTAGTTCTATTCTCATTGTCATCTCCAAGGATCTGCTTGCCAACGCCCCAATGAAGCAGGATGTCTCCAGACCCGAAACCAGCCGCAGTGATCTCCAGAACCATCCAACCACCTCAGGTGTTTCAAATCTTTTCAGACCAGCGACACGCATTCGGGCTTCGGGTCTTCGAGTTGGGGCGAGCAACCAAGTGAAAGCCTTTGCACGCGTGAACGAGCCATGCCAGGCATTGTCAGGACTGGTAATGCGATATAACGAGCAGTTGAGACCATCTACACAAGGTATCACTATCACGAGGTTACAAAGTCCATGAGTAGACTCTTCCGCAAAGTCTGGTTGCATTGCTTCATCTTCAAATGAAAAGTTGGAGGCCATCGCTCTTAGGTTGGAGGCCATCGCTAGTAGGTTGGAGGCCATCTCTATTAGGTTCCTTAAACGCCTTCATCTTCGCATGAAAAACGCCTTCATCGTTGGGCTCGGAGATCACATCCACATTGACCGAACACTTCCCGAGCTGCGCGGCAATCATTGCGCGAGTGCAACGAATGAATTTTTGGTCAACTGTGGTGTGTCTTGACAAAAGAATCGTTGAGTCGGTCGACATATGCCGAAGTAGGCATTTGCGGCGACTAGAGTACACAAAGTTCCAAAAAAACAAAACCACGGGGTTGACACGTCTCCAAACCTGTGAACATCCTGGAAGCTAAGCTTGGCATTTCTTCATGTCCACTCCTGACATGTCCTAATAAGCTCCCAAAGGCTGCAGAGCTGGGCGGAGCTGGGCAGAGCTGAAGTGCCAACAGAGCACAAGCTTTGCGGCTTAGCGAGACAAACCTGCTCATCCTCACACTTCGCAATGCCAAGTGAAGGAAAAACAAATTCCATGATCCTGCCCCACAAACTCACATGGATTATTCCGCAATCTTTAACCGGCACTTGTCATATGACAGTCAAGAGACTGGGCCTTTCACAGCTTCTGTGAACTTCATAGCACGCAGGAGCTGTCAGATGTTTGAACACTCTTTTGATATCTTTAGATTCTGTCTTCAGGCATGAATTTGGAGGTTAATACCTTGGCCTTGAATGTGCAGAAAGCGTGTCTTTGCGCAACTCTGACAGGTGTCAGTAGATGGCGTTGACGTTCTCCGCACGTGCTTAAAGTTTTACAGGAAGCCGCACAGCTTCAATGCAAGCACGGCAACGCCTCGGGGCATTCAACTCAATAACTACTCACGGCCTCCAACCTAACAGCAATGCCCTCCAACCTACAGTAATTGTAATGTCATCCAACCTGGAAGCGATGGCCTCCAACCTGCTAGCGAAGGCCTCCAGTATGCAAGATACTGCAAGTGCCTGCATAGCACACACAGGAGAGCATCTGGTCAGCAAAGTCCTCCGGGTTGTCATAGGAGGCTTTCGGGCCGAAAAATCAACCTATTCATAGTGTTGCCGAACTGCGATGTTTCCATGTTTCCCCTCTTCCCTCTTTTGTTCTGCTTCTGTCTGCTTGGTGAAGCCCATGGTCGGCTCCTTGGGGGCTTCCTTCTCGTTGATGGCCAACAACTCCACCTTAAGGCCAGTTCTTTCTGCGAAGTAACACGAAGTCGCGACACGTGTGCGGGGCATCATGGAACTGAGATTAGAATCTCAAGGGATTCTAGTAGCTTCTTGTTACTAGTAAGGCCAGGAGCTACTAGTAGTAAGGCCAGGAGCCCCTAGTAGCGTCCTTGCTCCTAGTAGCGATGCCTGGAGCCCCTAGTAGCTTCTTGTTACTAGTAAGGCCAGGAGCTACTAGTAGCGTCCTTGCTCCTAGTAGCTATGCCCTTTGCCCTTGTTCCTAGTAGCTTCTTGAAACTGAGAATGTCAGGCCTCAAAAACCAGGTCTGTGTTGGGTGGAATCACATCCCCGGCACCTTGACGACCGTACCTGGTTGGTGTATGTTGCTGTCGTTGACATGCGTTAACCGCCTCAAGTCTAAGTGTCATTCCGCGTTCGGAGTGAAGGGGCACGCAAAGTCGGAGGTGATGTCCAGTCTGGCTTTCTCACCAAGGCTCATTTGCATTACCTCAGAGAACTTAGGACTTCTCCAGGTCAGCATGAGATCACAAAGCCAAAGGGATAGGCACAAAAATTGGAGATGCCAAGGAACTCCTTCGTCCCATCCTCGGATCACCTGCAATTCCCGAAAAGAAACGGACTCAAGCGAATAGATCATGATTGCTATCGATTTGCATGAAGCACCGGTAGTTCTCGTCCGGAAATCGTCCCACCGGTCCCACCTGTCCCAAGCCCACTTGAAATCCGATGGGCTGTCCAGCTTTCCGGGACGAATCAAAGACTTCACCAGTCTTAAAGGTGCCCACATAGTGCATCCTCAGTATATAAATCAAACCATGAAAAATCATGCTTCCTGCATTTTCCTGCCGCATGGCCTAATGAAAACACTTCTGCTTGCTCATAACATCCCGGATCCCTCAATGAACTAGTAACTAGACCATTAAGCCGCTCTACCCGTTTCCCTGCCGGCCAAGGTTCCGCAGCTTGTCCCCTCTTCTGGGGAATGTTGTTTTGTCACCATCCTCACAAGGAAGCAGTTCAGGCATACGCACCCTCTCCCTTCCCCACATTCCCGGGCCAGTTAGGCCCAGAATGAACGTTTTTGCAGTCTGTTGGGCAGTCGAGGCGGAGAAAGTCTGCTGAAATCTTGAGCCTTGAGGATGGTCTTTGTCACCGGCATCCTTTTCGGCCGACACGGGCGCAAAAGAGCGCGCGAACGAGAGCTGCGGTGGAGCTATCTGACACTCTCAGTCAATTATATAAGCCCTTAATAGTGATGATATGATGTGACATGACGGCTGCAACTGTGATCTGCGAATCTGCGACTGTGGAAGTCATGCTGTGAGCACAAAACTGCTTTTCGTCGGAAATTACTAGAGCTAGAGTGCAGCGCATGTCATGTACTCATGCAGTATCATGTAATTAGTATTAATTAGTCATGTGATGTTATGTCATGTCCATCATCCCTCTAACAACCCTTGGAATGTGTCAAGCGAACGCATCGAGGTTGCCCTTCTTTAGGTGATGCCACACGCCTTCAGACTTCTTCAGTGATGATTGGATGATTGGTGTTGGCCCGACACCTTTCCTGGATCAAACAACCACAATCACGGGTTTCTCACGCAGTCGAAGTCAGGTCTGCTGCAGTCTGGCGTTACAGCAGCTGTTCCAAGGAGAGCACCTCGCAAGGGCATTGGAGACTTCTTGTCAGGTATCAATCAGATAAATACGAGGCCAAGGGCAAAAAGAACATATAGAAACACGTATGTACCATATTTCTCACTTTTCTCTTGGGCAAGTCATTTTTGCGAACATCCACGACTGGCAGGCTATTGGCCAAAAGGGTTTCGAAAAGGACCGTCTACTTAGAGTCTTCGATCTGGGCTAGTAGCGTCCTTGCCTCTAGTAGCGATGCCAGGAGCCCCTAGGAGCTTCTTGCTCCTAGTAGTAAGGCCAGGAGCCCCTAGTAGCGTCCTTGCCTCTAGTAGCAATGCCAGGAGCCCCTAGTAGCTTCGCTCCCAATAGTAAGGCCAGGAGCCCCTAGTAGCGTCCTTGCCTCTAGTAGCGATGCCAGGAGCCCCTTAGTTCCTAGTAGAAAGGCCAGGAGCCCCTAGTAGCTTCTTGCTCCTAGTAGTAAGGCCAGGAGCCCCTAGTAGCGATGCCAGGAGCCCCTAGTAGCTTCTTGTTCCTGGTAGTAAAGCCAGGAGCCTCTAGCACGAGTTCATCTTCCAGCATTTTAAGCCGGTTCCAAAAACGTGAAAAACACAGTATTCTAGAGCGAAAATCCCCCCCCCTCATGGCTTCTTGCTCCTAGTAGTAAGGCCAACGAGGGCCTAGTAGCGTCCCTGCCTCTATTAGCGATGCCAGGAGCGCCTAGTAGCTTCTTGCTCCTGGTAGTAAGGCCAGGAGCGCCTAGTAGCGTCCTTGCCTCTAGTAGCGATGCCAAGAGCCCCTAGTAGCTTCTTGCTAGTAGTAAGGCCAGGAGCCTCTAGTAGCGTCCTGTTGCCTCTAGCAGCGATGCCAGCTTCTTGCTCTTGGTAGTAAGGCCACGAGCCCCTAGTAGCGTCCTTGCTCCTAGCAGCGATGCCAGGAGCTCCTAGTAGCTTCTTTCTCCTAGTAGTCAGAAGTAGGGCCAGGAGCCCCTAGTAGCCTCTAGCAGCGATGCCAGGAGCCCCTAGTAGCTTCCTTGCTCCTAGTAGTAAGGCCAGGAGATTAGCGTCCTTGCTCCTGGT